AACTTCTTGACACGGCAAAGTGCAATATGATAGGTGATTGCACTTTGCCTGTTCACATACATCTTCGACAGAGCAACATCGATATGAAAGTTTCTCTGTCGATGAAACTTCTCCACACCTCAAGAGAATGCGAAAGACTTTTGACAGTGCAAAGTGGCAATATTGATAGGTGATTGACACTTTGCCTGTCACAGACAACTCGCCAGAGGGCAACAATTTCGATATAAAGTTCCCTCTTTCAGAGAGACTTCTCACACCTTCAAGAGATGCGAAAACTTTGACAGGCAAAGTGATAGTTGAATAGTATTGAAGCTGGTATGTCGAGTTGCCATGCACATGATGATTACGATGAGGCAAATTCGATATGAAAGTTCCTCTGTCGAGAACAACCTTTCGCACCCTCAAGAGAATGCGAAGAACTTCTTGACAGGCAAAGTGGCCAATATTGATAGGTGAATTTGCACATTGGCCTGTCACATAATCTCGACAGAAGGCACATTCGCATAGAAAGTTCTCTCTGTCAGGAAACTCTTCACACCTCAAGAGATGCGAAGAACTTCTGTGGGACAGCAAAGTGCAATATTGATTAGGTGATTGCATTGCCTGTCACATACATCATCGGCAGAGGCACATCTCGATATGGAAAGTTTCCTCTGTCGAGAAATCTCCTCACACCTCAATGAGATGCGAAGAAACTTTTGACAGGCAAAGTGCAATATGATAGGTGGATTGCACTTTGCCTTCACATAACTTCTCGCAGAGGGAACATTCGATTGAAAGTTTCCTCTGTCGAGAAAACTTCCTCACACCTCAAAGATGCGAGAACTTTTGACAGGCACAAGTGCCAATATTGATAGTGATTGCACTTTTGCCTGTCACATACATCTCGACAGAGGCAACATTCGATAGAATAGTTCCTCTGTCGAGAAACTTCCTCAGCACCCTCAAGAGATGCGAAAGACTTTTGACAGGCAAAGTGCAATATTGAGTAGGTGATTGCACTTTGCTGTTCAACATACATTCTCGACGCAAGGCAAACATTCGATATGAAAGTTTCCTCTGTTCGAGAAATTCCTCAACCTCAAGAGAAGTGCGAAGAAACTTTTGACAGGCAAAGTGCAATAATTGATAGGTAGATTGCAACTTTGCCTGTCACATAACATCTCGAAGATGGCAACATTCGATATGAAAGTATGCCTCTTCGAGAAACTTCCTCCACCTCAAGAGATGCGAAGAACTTATTTGATCAGGGCAAACGTGCAAGTATTGATAGGTGATTGCACTTGCCTGTCACATATTCATCCACAGAGGCACATTCGATATGAAAGTTTCCTCTATTGCGGAGAAACTCCTCAACACTCCAAGAGATGCGAAGAAGCGTTTGACAGCAAAGTGCAATATGATAGTGATTGCACTTGCCTGTCCACATAACATTTCGACAGAGAGCAACATTCGAATATGAAAGTTTTACCTCTGTCGAGAAAACTTCCTCACACCTTCAGAGATGCGAAGAACTTTTGACAGGCCAAGGTGCAATATGATAGTGATTGCACTTATGCCTGTCAACATACATCTCGACAGAGAACATCCGATATGAAGTTTCTCTGTCGAGGAAGAACTTCCTCACACCTCAAGAGATGCGAAGAACTGTTGAAGGCAACAGTGCAATATTGATAGGTGATGCCACTTTTGCCTGTCACATACATCATCGCAGAGGAACATTCGATATGAAATTTCTCTGTCGAGAAATTTCCTCACCCTCAAGAGATGGAAGACACTTTGAAGCAAAGTTGCAATATTGATAGGTGAGTTCACTTTGCCTGTACATACACTCTCGACAGAGCAACATTCGATATGGAAAGGTTTCTCCTCCGGTTCGAAAAACTTTCCTCCACACCTCAGAGATGCGAAGAAACTTATTGACAGCAAGTGCAATATTGATAGTGATTGCACTTGTGGCCTTTCACATACATCTCGACAGAGCAACATTTCGATATGAAAGTTTCCCTCGTCGAGGGAAACTTCCTCACACCTCAAAGATTGCAAGAAACTTTTGACGGCAAAGTGCAATAGTTGATAGGTGATTGCACATTTGGCCTGTCACATTACATCTGACAGAGGCAACATCGATATGAAAGTTTCCTCTGTCGAGAAAATCCCACACGCTCAAGAGATGCGAAGAACTTTTGACAGGCAAAGGTAGGCAATAATTGATAGGTTGATGGCACTTTGCCTTACATACATCTCGACAGAGGCAACAATGTCGATATGAAGTTCTACTTGTCTGAGAAAACTCCTCACACCTCAAGAGATGCGAAGAACTTTTGAAAGGCAAAGTGCAATATTGATAGGTGATTGCACTTGCCTGTCACATACATCTCGACAGAGGCCAAACATTCGATATGAAAGTTTTCCTCTGTCGAGAAACTTCCTCACACCTCAAGAGGTGCGAAGGAACTTTGGACAGCAAAGTTGCATATATTGATAGGTGATTGCACTTGTGACCTGTCACATTACATTCGACAGAGGGCACCATCGATATGAAAGTATTCCTTCTGTCGAAAGAATTCCTCACACCTCAAGAGATGCGAAGACATTTGGAACAAGGCAAAGTGCAATATTGAGAGGTGATTAGCCACTTTGCCTCGTCACAATACATTCTGACAGATGGCGAACATTCGATTTGAAATTTCCTCTGTCGAGAAACTTCCTCACACCTCAAGAGATGCGAAGAACTTTCAGGCAAAGTGCAATATTGATAGTGATTGCACTTGCCTGTCACATACGTGGTAGATATGCACATTTAATGACTTCTCCATTTGTTTTGGTAAAGATTCTAAAACTATATCAAAAGGAATATTATGATGAATATGTTTTGCCTTTATTACGTAAGCCAAAAATAACATTTGATATAAAACTTGATGACTCGTTTTTGATAACAGATATTAGACGCAGGGCTGAAAATCATCAGTATAAAAACAGTTCTGAAGTAATTGAGGATTTATCACGTGTAATCCGTTTTGTAGATTGTGGAAACAAATACTTCAGTCAAAAAGATTACAACATCCACGACAAAATGAATCAAATATCATTTGTTCTTCAGTCAAACATGAAAGAGTCACTCAAAATGATTAAATTATTTAAAGAAGAAGGTAAGACCATAACAGCATGGGACGTACTACTAAATCAATTGTCTTCATTAACCGTTAAGGGTGTTTGCTTTAAATCTGATTCCCCAGATGTTTTCTCAACGTTTCAAGGTTATAAATACAACATTCTTGAAAAGCTTGATTACTCAAAAATTGAGATGTTTATGGATTTCATTAAAGAAGCCATTTGTGATAATAACGATGAAGTGTATAAATACCTTCTCGGCTGGATTGCATCAATGATTCAACATCCTGGAATCAAGAATGAAACAGCAATTATTTTGAAAGGACTTCAGGGAACAGGTAAAAACAGATTTACAGACATTATTTCTGAACTTCTCGCTGGTTATTCATGTAAAAACATTACCGAAATAGGTGAGTTAACGGGTAATTTCAATTCAGTTGTTGAGAATAAAATGTTTCTTGTACTTAATGAACTCAAGAATGTAGGTGAAGACAGACTCGCAAACTTCAACGCTTTGAAATCAATTATAACGGATAATGAGATTAGAATTAATGAAAAGAATCAACCCAGAAGAACCGCTCAAAACGTTGCAAACTTCATTTTCGTAACTAATAACGTCTACCCTGTCAAAATTGAAGTTGGAGACAGAAGATATGTAGTTTTAAGAGTTAATGGTAAATTTAAGGGTCAGTTTGATTACTTCAAGAATTTAATGGATTCATGCACTAAGGAATTTTATGATAATTTACTGACGTATTTTATGCAATATGACCTTTCATCATTTAATGTACGAATCATACCGATGACTGAAGCCAAACAAGATTTAATCGAATTATCATCAAATCCTTTAGATGTATGGATAAATACACATTATGATGAATTGTGTGCAGGTATGACGTGTAAAAATGCTCTATTCTGCAAACCATCAGACATGAAAGACAAGAATTTCCAAATGAACATTAAGGATAAATGTGATAAGAAACAGAGAAGAATAGATGGTAAACAGACATGGTATTATGTTTTGAAAGAAGAAATGAAAGGGTTATATAAACAGGTTGAACCAAACGATAATGAGGATTCATTTACTGACGATGAAATACCTGTAAATGAAGCTTTATAAAGTATGATTGGAATTTATTTTTGCATTAATCCTCCTGTGTTGTTGTCAAAATGTCATGTTGTCTCATTTTTTCAGAGAAGTTAAATGACCGAGTGACACATGGTGACATAGTGACACCTTCAGTTCTTCAAAAATAATTCATAAATGCCTTCCTCCTGTGTTGTTGTCAAAATGTCATGTTGTCACACTTTTTCAGAGAAGTTAAATGACCGAGTGACACATGGTGACATAGTGACACCTTCAGTTCTTCAAAAATAATTCATAAATGCCTTCCTCCTGTGTTGTTGTCAAAATGTCATGTTGTCTCATTTTTTCAGAGAAGTTAAATGACCGAGTGACACATGGTGACATAGTGACACCTTCAGTTCTTCAAAAATAATTCATAAATGCCTTCCTCCTGTGTTGTTGTCAAAATGTCATGTTGTCACACTTTTTCAGAGAAGTTAAATGACCGAGTGACACATGGTGACATAGTGACACCTTCAGTTCTTCAAAAATAATTCATAAATGCCTTCCTCCTGTGTTGTTGTCAAAATGTCATGTTGTCACACTTTTTCAGAGAAGTTAAATGACCGAGTGACACATGGTGACATAGTGACACCTTCAGTTCTTCAAAAATAATTAATTATTGAATAACCTGAAACCATTAACGTAAACATTTATTTTTGCAGTTCATTCATTACTTCATTACCTAATTAATTACAGACATAAAATATATTTAGTTCATTCGGTAAGCCTTGACCCAAAAGTCTGGGCTCAAGCACATTCAATGAACGCGGTACCATGCGAATACAGTCATAAATGGTGGCATGTAATCTTTACCCAAGCCTGTTGGATTTGTTGTGAAAGTGTGTGAATGATTACCTGCGGTTCCACAGAAAATACCTGTGCTTGAATCTACTGGGTCAGTTGTGATATCATATCTATTCATTCCCCATCTATCCGAACCTGCTGCAAGATTTGTATAACCTCTTTTTGTTATTGAATGTGAATGACTACCTGTTGTGTTTGTAGTTCCTGTATGAGTGTGCGGTGGAAGGTTTGCTTCTTTAATTTTCTTCGAACCTCCTGCCGTCTTTGAATATCTAGCACAGTATAAGAATTTATCTACAATCTGCTTCCATTCACCAAAACCCAGAACTGTTTCTGGATTTGTTGAGTTCATTGATGTATAAATAGAACCAACAGGATATAATGTTTGAAGTATTTCATTTTTCATGCTTGTAATCACATCATTTACTTCCGACTTCTTTGCATAATTTTCATTCACATAAGTTTTATCCGCTTTAAGGTCTAAACATCCTGAAACCCATCCTGTATCAGCTTTAGTTTTAAAAATCTTTGATGTCCATTCATGATACCATTCAACCATTTCTTTAATTTCATTATCTTTTTCATCCACATATTCCTTATCTACTTTCTTCTCTAACTCACTATCCACATATTCCTTATCTGCTTTCTTCTCTAACTCATCATTAACATAAGTTTTATCCGCTTTAAGGTCTAAACATCCTGAAACCCATCCTGTATCAGCTTTAGTTTTAAAAATCTTTGATGTCCATTCATGATACCATTCAACCATTTCTTTAATTTCATTATCTTTTTCATCCACATATTCCTTATCTACTTTCTTCTCTAACTCACTATCCACATATTCCTTATCTGCTTTCTTCATTATGTCATTTAGGAAACCCTCTATGAATTCCTCATTTAAATTAAATCTTCCAATCTTCAAAACTTTAGGAAATGCATTTAATGCGTAATATCTCTGTTCTTCTGGTGGAATTGATGTTATATCATCCGTTATTCCTTTAATTTTTGAATTCAGAAATAAAATTTCTTTTATATTTGATATCACTGCACCACCTTTGCAAACGAATTCGAAATGGTCATTTTTCAATACTATCTCCAAATCTCCATATTTCAACCTTTGCGTTTGTTCTGCCGTCTTCGAATTATATGCATATATGGCGTATGTAATGGTCTGAAGGACCTGAGTGCTTTGTGCCTTAAGTTGTTGTGGTTGCTGTTGTTTAATCATTTATTATGATTTAAAAATAAATATTTAATCCGTTATCTCATCAGCTATTTTTTCTATTTGAAATTGCCATAATATTTCATTGATAAATTTTAAATCACAATCAAATAGGTCAGTTATTCTAAATTTAATATTTGATAAATCTTTTGAATGAAGAATAAATGAATTCCCGGATAATTGAAACGGATATGATAAAGAAAATGTGTTTAAGTTGATGGATAAAATGTTTTGTATTGATGGGTAAGAGTTAGGGTCTAATGTTTGATGTGAAAATCTCATTGGGGTATTAACTTTATCACATTTGATTAAAATGAAATTGGAACCAGTGTCAGAATACAAAACATCCCCAACATCTTTTTCAAAATTTAATATCCCCAACAATGAACGATGATGAGGAGTACAAAATTTAATTTTCAGCGGGAATTTAATAAGGTTATTTATTTCATTAAGTTCAAAAAGTTTATCAGGTTTTGATTTAAAATTTTCTTCATACCATACGATAAATGATTCATTTAAATAACTTAAAATCGTGTTAATATCCCATTTCACTATCACATTATTTATATACATATCATACGTTTTTTCAAGGTCATCTTTAATAAATGATATATAATCTGAAGGGTCTAAAAGAATGGGATTAAATTTACCACTCACAGAAACGAGAGTAACATTATAAATTCCGCTAACTGTTAAATTTAATTCACAGTTATTATTCGAAATAATATTGATAATTGACATTTTTTATTACGATTAAAAATATGGTAAAGCGTTATTTTCCAGTGATAAATAAAACTAGAATAAGATTACCTCAAGAATTCATAAATTCAACGAATAAGAAATTCATTCATGTTATAAATTTTAGTGTTTTCAGAAAATATGAGTCAATGTCATATTCATCAACAGGTTATATTTCACTTCATTCAAATTTAGTTCAATCAAACCCATATAATGACCATTTCATAAGATTTTCAGATGGTATTAAAAATGTAATTGATAGATTAAAATATGAACAGATTGACAATATCGAATTTTTGGAATTTTGGTTTAAATATCCCGATGGAAAAAAGATTGAAGTTAAAGATAAAGCTGATACTATAACAAAAACAATTACAATGACCGATCCAGATAGTGGGGAACAAAAAGAAATAAAACAAACGATAGAAACTGGTGAAAGGTCAATTATTATTGATTATGATTCAAAGGATTATTATTCGATAATGTTAATGCTTGAATATTAAATAGCCTTAACAAAGAATTTTTCAAGTGATATTTTATATTCATCAACTATTTTATTATAAATATCATTATATGTTAAATGAAGTTCAGTTGTTGTTCCGTTCTTTGATATCTTAATTGTGCTAATATCCTTTATAGGATTTATTTTTGCAACTGTTCCGCAGCATGAAACCTCATCATCTATGAAAAATTGAATCTTAACGTCTGAATCTTGAACATCACAAAGAATGGCGATAATGTGAATTAATGATTCATAAGGTAAAATAATTAAACCAGATTGATCAATTAAATTTATTATTGAATCATAATTATTAATTATTATATCACGGTAAATAGACATTAATTCAGAATTAATGTCTATTTTATATGGGTTCTCGATGTTTGATGAAAGAGGTGGGGGGTATGTTGGATAAGTGGGAATTTCAACAGGTTCTTTACCGGGTTCAGATAAAATGATTGGGTCTCCATTCTCATGGTTTTCTTCATTCTCCTCCTTTTTCGGTAAGTCACGAGTTAATAAATTTGGTTGAGTTGCTGACCTTGTTAATTCGGGGCTAACATTAACTTTAACATTTTGAATAATTCGTGATTTATCATCATTTACGTTATAACCAACCGTAATCTCTGCTTTTGCGTTAGTGTTCTTTTGACTAGAGAAACGTCTTCTCATTTATATTCGAATAAAAAAAATATATTTAAACTTTTATTTTGCTGGAACTTTTGAATCTATTATTCCCTGTATTTGTTCATGAAGTTGATTTTTAGCATTTTCATCGAAATTAATAGACCGAATATATTCATTCATTGCATTCTTATAATCATTTGATTTCTCAAATTTTCTTTTATCTGATTCCTTAACTAAATCATAAGTTAAACCTCGTTGCTGATATAATGGTTTCTTAATTAAATCTTTGAATGCTTGAGATAAAGCACCTGATGCAATTCTTGCTACTATAATTGGTTGAAATTGCTGTTTAAGTTCATCTTTAACATTTGCGAAAACCGGATCGAATAAAGCAACTTTAAAGAATTTCTTAGCTGAAATTTCAGGTCTAATATTTGCATATTGACCATCAAACTGGTTAGAATATCGTGGTAATCCATCCGGTCCCTCTTCAATAGCATTTAATTCTTCATTGAAATAAGAATATGGATTATGACGGTATGAATTAATTGGACCATTTTTACCTTCTCCAATGTATTGTTTAACAGCTTTTCCATTTTCATCAAATTGCATAGGATAATGTTCATTATATGCTTTACGTTTAGGATAATCAGATACAGTTAATTTATAACCATTTATGACTTTAATATTACCTTGACCATCAGTAACGAAAACTTCATTTATACCTTCAGGTTTTCCATTTGGACCCGTAATGTCTGCTTCGTGTGCTTCCAAATTTGGACCATGACGTTTGGCATATGCTTGAGCTTCTGGTAATGTTAAAACATTTCTCATTTGTTTAACATCTTTTTGAAGACCGGCAACAATATGAACTAATTCTTTCATTCCATCGGGAACTTTCATAGTTCTATTATATGCACCCTTTTTGTTTGTCCCTTGTTTTAATGGAACTTGTAAAAGATTTGCTATTTCTGTCATGTTTAATTATAAATAAAAAATAAAAATTAATTATAAAAAGTTAATCAAATTTAACACCTCCTTTATTTAAATCAACTATTATTTTTCCATGTTCACCTAATTGCTGATATTGTGTGTAAAGTTCATTAATGCTCATTGGTAAATTCACTTGATAAAGCATAACGTTCAACTGTTGACGACTAAACCCACTGAAAATGAAAAGGGTTGATAGATTTGATTTAATATTTGTGCTTAATGCTTTGAAATATTGAACAGCCATAAAAAATGAACACTGAATGTGTCGACATTGAGTTAATAACTGATTAAAATATGATTTCTCATTTGTTATTAGTTTTGATTTCACTGCATCATCTAGAAAAATGAGTGAATGCAAAAATTCTTTATCAAAATTTGAAATAGAAAGTGTTTCAAATAATTCATCCCGTTGTTTATCAATAATTTTATCCTCTAATCCTTGCTTCTTGATTGTATTATATAATTCTTTATACATTAAAAAGTTTTTTAAATAATCTTCTGCTTCTTCTTGTGATAAATAAATAATTGGAATTTTGATTAAATGCTTTAAAGATTCAAATGTATCATCTGAAGGTGAACCTGAACGGTTGATATAAATTAACACGTGTGAATGGGGGGAAGTGTTAGCAATAATGATAATTTGTTTTAATATCGTTAATGTTTTACCTTTATTCTGTTTACCAATTGCTGCAGTGATTGAATTTAAGTAACATTCAGAATATGGAATTTTCATTAATTTTTCCTTAGATAGAGCATTTCTATTATCACTCAATGCTTCATTAATCATATCATCTACGTATGTATTATATACTCCTGCTAATTCTTCATAAGGGGTGGATGAATTTAAATCCATTTAATCAAAAAAATTTATAATTTTAAACATTTCTATTCATCAATATTTCATCATATGAACTTCTATACTGTGGTGGTGTACCTGTTGAATGATATTTCAAACCTTCATCCGGTGTCCATGTCCAATATGTAGTCCTAGTAAACCAAACCTGAGGAGGATTTGTCACCTTTGAACAGTAAGTGTCATTTACACCCTGAATGATTGGATAAGCTTTCACTTGTACTGTAACTTGTGAGTTGAAAGTTTCTAATCCATCAAAGAATATACCCACTCCATCACGTTGAACTGGAATAGTGCATAAGAATGAAGTTTGGTCTTTCCATGTTCTAGCTAATGGCGTGCCATTATCATCATTCAGTGGTCTAGTTAATGAGTCCTCATATTCTTCTGTGCATTCATTCACTCCATCTAAATCAGAAGCTTGAAGCATACGTGTAAAGAATATGTCACCCACTGTGGTCATCGCTTGATCGGGGAAGTTTCTGGAATCTATAGTGACCTGAAGACCTCGAAGCATTGGATTTTCTAAAACTGTTCTTTGCATTGCATTCTTCGGAAATGTTAACACAACATCTGTAACATTATGAAGAGCGTATGAGAAATCTGAGCTGATACCTTCAGGAGTGATGCAACCTCCATTTAGTGAACGAACGTCAATATGTTGAGCTGGAATCATGAATGGATCTTCCTTACTGAATAAACGTGGTATTGCTTTAACTGATTCTTCAATTAAACCGTATCCTGGTGTAATGCATTTATCCTCTAAAACTTCCATCTTTGTGCATGAAATAATAACGTTATCAACTTTTGCGTCAGCAGATGTAACGGCTAAGCTTGTAATTAATTTGGCAGGAAGTCCGATTTGTTGGAATTTGCGATCATATTTATAAACATGATTCATAATCTTTTCATAATTTTCATCAGTTATCTTTTCATAAACGTAATTTTGTAAATCAGCAACTCTTAACGGGTCAACCTGACAAAATACTAAAGTATCCCTGAAAACATAATATTTAAGAATGATTTCACCAAATGATTTAGGATAATCATCGAACGCCTGAAATGCTAACAAATCATTTACCGGAATAATCATATCAAAAGTGACATCAACTTCTTCATTTGCTTTCTTGAAAACTTCTGAAGGGTCAATATATTTACCACATACTGAGTTATTCATATTTTTGAACATTATTATATAACGAATGAACAAACTTTTTAACTTTCCTTTCTGATTTTGGTTTATATGTTGCAAATGCGAAAGATTCACGGGCACAATCCATCTGAAGATAACCAGCATCACCTCTTTCGGTTTCTACTTCTAATTGTTTAAAGCTTTGATTTGATGATTTGTAACCAACGAATAAACGCATGCATTTAAAAGCGGCATCACATGTGAAAGCTTTATTTGAAACTAGAGTTGCTTTAACTTTGCGTTTAATATATGTGTCACCTAATTGATTCACATCATGAGCCGGATTTGTAATTCTTAAATGAGTTTGTTTATCATCAAAATATGGAGCATCAGAGTCATAGCATGAACTTTCAAGTTCTCTATAATATCTTCTACCGTCATTCTTTGCGAATATTTCATTTATCTTTTCGAATGAATGAAACACATTTCCATTAATCGGTTTAGTGTTTGGCACCAAATAGTTAGTCGTCATTTATTATTAAATAAAAAATCAAAATTAAAAGATGAAAATGAATTTTTAATTTTAATGAAATAATCAACTATGGCTGCAGGATTCTTTAAAAAATTATGGGATAAAGTAAAAAGAGGAGCGCATAAAGTTTGGGAAACAATGAAGAAAGGAGCAAATTGGATATTTAAGAATAAAGAAGCAATTAGTGACGTTGCTGAATCAATAACACCAAAAGCCGCCCCAATAAGAGAAATATTAAATAAAGGAGAAAAAGTTTATCAAAGACTTCAACCGATACTAAGATAAAAATAATATTTATTTTTCCACTATTTACCCCCTATTTTATTAAGTATTCCTTCAGCAATTCCACCAATTGCGTTACCTGCTTGTGCTCCCATCGCCGGATTACCTGCTTTAGTACCTAATACTCCACCTATGATAGTTCCTGCCGTTTTCGCTACTGGTGCCAAAAAGTTTGCAACAGGTTTAATAACCTTTTTATAAACCCAACCTGCAGCTTTCTTAATTCCATCCCATAATTTTTTAAAGAATCCTGCCGCCATTTCTGATTTAATATTAATTAAAAAATATTTCATCACTTATATTCTAATTTTTATTTAATGATAAATGAAACCGATTTTAAAAATAAATGAAACAGAGGAGGAAGAAATAAATGAAAGTGAAAATGTTCAACAAAAAATAAACGTTGTTAAACCAATTACTGAAATAAAAATTTTTTCATCTGTTGAAGAATTTAATGACTATTATGCTAATAATAAAAAATTATTTGAAGAATTGACAACGTGTAAATTGAATAAAATGTTTAAAGTTGATGGATTCAAAATTTCAAAAATAAAGGGGGTAGTTAGTTTGAAATCTATTCCTCAATCAAGAATCACCTCATTAATGAAAATAGATGATTTAACAAAAAGAATAGAAGAGATTGAAGAAAGAATGAATCAAATAATTGATTTCATAAATTCAAACAATCATTAGTTTCAATTTATTTTTTCTCGTTTATGAGGTCTTTGATTATGACTCCATTATATTTATACCTGTTGTCAAAATGTCATGTTGTCACACTTTTTCAGAGAAGTTAAATAACCGAGTGACATGGTGACATAGTGACACCTTCAGTTCTTCAAAAATAATTAATTATTGAATGCGTTTAGTATATAATATTTATTACTAATTTATTTAATAATGTCGCGCTTTCTTACGAATTCATGACTTGATTTATTCAAAAACGTAAGAATAAAAACCGTAAGAATCATACATTTTTTACTTCATATGTTAAAAAAAATGATACAAAATCGCTCGATATTGTATGAATTCTTACGTTTACAAAAAAAGTCACACAACCCGTCATACCATACTACTATCAAATTCCATTAGTCCATGGAAATGATTTTCTTTGCTTTCCTTTTCTATAATTGAAGAGCAGTTTTTCCGTAAATATCTTTGGCATCAGCATCTATTCCATTAGAAATCAGAAGCTCTCTAATTCCGTGATTTGAGTGTTTTGAAGCCAAATGAAGAGCAGTTCTCTCTTTATAATCTTTTGCATTGATATCAGCGTCGTGTGACAAAAGATCTGTAATAATAACAGAAAGGTTATTCATTGTTGCATAATGTAAGGCTGTTCTTCCTTTATTGTCTTTTGCATTGACATCTGCGCCACGTTCAATAAGAATTTCCCCTATTAATTCATATCCCTTTATCAAAGCATTATGAAGAGGAGATTTTTGTTCATGATCCTTTGCATTAATATCTATTCCAGTTGAAATAAGCTCCTCAATTAAAATTTCTACTTCATCTGATGAAACATAATGAAGTGCGTTTTTTCCAAATTTATCTAAGGCATTGATTTCAGCACCACTCGATATAAGAAAATGTATTAAATCAAAATTAGATGATTGAACTGCTAAATGAAGAGCGGTTGCTCCATTAATATCCTTAGCATTCACATCAGTTCCATTTGAAATTAATATTTCAGCTATTTTTACATAGCCAAATATTGGTGGATCATATTTATATTTATTTCAAAGTAAATATTCTGCTAAATAGTGTAGAGGAGTTTTTTCTTGTTCGTCTATTACTGTAACATCAGCTCCATTTGATATAAAAAGTTCACCCATATCATACCGATTTTTTGCGCTGCTTTATGAAGAAGTGTTTTTGAATTATTATCGAAAGTATTGACATCAGCGCCATGAGCGATTAGTAATTTGGCAATTTCAATATTTAGATCAACTGCATTGTGGAGAGTTGTAGCTCCAGTGTTTTTCTTGGTATTGATATTTGCACCGCTTTCAAGTAAAATCTTGACGGTTTCTATGTTATCATAATATATAGCATAATGAAGAGCTGTTTCTCCAAGTTCATTAACATCATTTATATTTATTCCATGTGAAATAAGCATTTTTACTGTCTCAGCACAGTCTGAAAGTGCTGCATAATGAAGAGCTGTTTTTTTATAATCAAATTTTGTATTAACATCAATACCACGCGATATAAGAAGCTCAGCAATATCTTTATTATCAGATTGTACAGCAATTTGAAAATTAGATTTGCAATTATCCATATTTATATTGTGTGAAATAAGAAATTCTGCAATTAATCTGTTCCCATATTGTGCTGCATGAAAAAAGGCTGAATAATAATTTTTATCACGTGTATTTATATCTACACCATGAGATATCAAATATTCGCAAAGAGATGGAAAATTGAAACGAACTGAAAAAGGAAAACACTTCTTGTAATTCTTTGATGTATCTAAATAAACTAAAAACGCTTGTAGATTATTATATTTATGGCAATATTCCATTTCGATTTTCAAATTGTGTTCGTTCATAAGATAAGTAACAAAGTCGATATTATGTGAAATAATTGCATATTCCATGCAGCTATCGTATGGTTTTGTCTCTTTCAAACACTCATTAATTATGTCCGGATTTCCCCCTAAAAATGAAAGTTTCAGGCAATTTGAATTAATCAATGGTTTAAACTTTGTTCTAAGAAACTTAAAACAATTGACTGCGCCATGATAACAACATAATTCAAGTAAAGAATATCCGTATTTTGATTCTGGATAAAATTCACTTTTCAGGTTTTGCCTTTCATTAAAACCTTCTTTTTCTGTAAGAGATATAAATAACTCTTTGTCATCGGTCATGATTGCACTGTGAATAGAATCTTTTTCATGAACATCTAAAGAAAAATTTTGGGATTCAAGCTTAACAATATCGTAGTCAATTAATATGCCGAATTCTTTATAAAGAAAGTAAAGAAAAGGAATTGATGTGTGTTTGGGGACTCTTGGGTGATACTCTTCATATAATTTCTTAAATAGGGACCAGTATGACTTAAAATATCTGCAATTGTATTTTGAAGCCGTTGAAAGTATTTTTAAGAGCTGAGATGGTAAGAACATTTTAGATTGTATCAATTCTCTTTTGATAACTTGGAAAATATTGTTGATTTCATCTTCATTGTAAGTATGTAGTCTGTACAACGAATTAAAATTATCGTTATAATCTTTGCTTAACTGCATAAGCTCATCATATAAATCGTTAACCATTGAATTTAAAAATCTAATGGTCATTATTAATAAATAATGTTGTATTAATAATATTATATGTAATGACTACTTTCCTATTATCTAGGAAATGAATTCTTTAAAAAAATTAGATATCGATAATAAATCTTTGTAAAAAGGTGATCATTTCAAATTAAAGCATGGATATCTTTTATAAATTCTCTCTGATTTCCCTTTCAATATAACCCTTAGAAATTCCGCACAAATTATTGAGAAGAATTCAATTATTCAGCAATAATAGCTAAACACTAACTAATATTAATCAAATATGGATAAAGTGTAATAAACAGAAATTCATCAAAAGTGACAGCTCTCAATTTTTTGACATTTGTAAATTCTAAATTGAATGAGAAAAATGAAATAATACTAAGCATAATACAATATTCTAGATTTAATTATAATTAGGAAAAGTTAGTTTTGAGAGTACTTTTCATAGGCATATAGAATGAAATCTTCTGAAAAATAATATCACATAAACTCATATTATTTTCTAATATATAACTATTTTATATAAAAATCAAATTCAATGATCTTAAAAGCGAAGGATAAACCTCAAAATTTACGAATATAATGAGTGGGAATATAATGCTTATCTATCATAAAACCATATGAAATATCAATTTTTGCTTTACGCCTAATTTTTGACGACAATTAGCAAAAAATGTTAAATGTTAACACTCAGTCCATTTGAATATGAAAAATAAAATTGACTTTGATTAAATGTTTTTATTTATCATGCAATTCTTCTTGCGACCAAAGATTTGAATAAAAGTTCAAAAAATAAGATAGCTTAAAAAATAATATACGGTAGTGTTTACTAATAGATGAATAGTATATAAATTCTATTAAAATGGATTTGATCCAAAAAAATATATAAAATTTGATCATAAATAAAATCGTTTTAAATTACTTCTTCATTTAAATTATAACAATTATTTTTGGTTTTATATTTTTTTGGATCAAATCCATTTTAATAGAATTTATATACTATTCATCTATTAGTAAACACTACCGTATATTATTTTTTAAGCTATCTTATTTTTTGAAGTTTTATTCAAATCTTTGGTCGCAAGAAGAATTGCATGATAAATAAAAACATTTAATCAAAGTCAATTTTATTTTTCATATTCAAATGGACTGAGTGTTAACATTTAACATTTTTTGCTAATTGTCGTCAAAAATTAGGCGTAAAGCAAAAATTGATATTTCATATGGTTTTATGATAGATAAGCATTATATTCCCACTCATTATATTCGTAAATTTTGAGGTTTATCCTTCGCTTTTAAGATCATTGAATTTGATTTTTATATAAAATAGTTATATATTAGAAAATAATATGAGTTTATGTGATATTATTTTTCAGAAGATTTTGTGTTCTTCTTCAAAATTTTACTTTTTTATTAAAAAGAATCTTTACAAAATATACATTTACTTTAATTAATATTTAAAAACGTGCTCTATCAAAAGTTCCAAAAATTCAATATTTTAGCTTTTCTGATGTGTCACTTTTGATGAATTTCTGTTTACAACAAATGCACATTGTAACAGAATAGAACAATCACCAGATTTTTTTTGAAATTAAAAAATAAAAGTAAAAAGTATAAAGTAATCTAACCAAAAAAGATATTTAAAAGAATTTTGGAAAAAACAGAATAAGGATAATGATATTATTTTAGATACACTAGGGCTGTACAAAATCGAGAAAAACATTGCCGTGCGGTAATATAGGGTCAAAAAAATCGCGCCTCGGCGGCTCCGCCGCCTCGGCACTATTAAGTGCGCATTATATTTAATATGTCCTTCCTTCTTTTTTTTCGTTTTTCTTCTTCTTCTTTTCCTTTCCTTCTTCCTCTCCTTCCTCTTCTTTCCTTCTCCTTCTCTTTTTACAACAACGTCGAAGATCTTCGAATTTGATTGTTGGAAAAGCATCTATTTCAGATAAAGGATGCCTTTCTCACAGTCAACATACGAGGGTCCTGGCTGAAACGTTCTCAAAAAGCCTGAGATGGTAATTCTCTGATCACTCATAGCTGGGCAGGTAGTCATTGCTGACAATACCTGTCTTTATGCATGCACGCTTTCATGTATATGGGTTTACACTATCAATTCGCAAAGTTGTTCCGAATTCTTCCAAAATGGAAGGACCCGAAACAACTTTGCTTGTTAACGATACAGACGCATTACTTTGCATTGATACTGTGCTGAGTTGTGTAGAAAGTTTGATTAGAGTTGTTTTGTTCTGGTATCTCTCATCTTCTGATGAGAGAAATCAAAGCAAAACAACTCTAATGATTTGTTTTCACTCATTTGTATGTAGGTTTTTAGTTCGATTGGAGCTGCTTCATAATGAGATCTCTCATCAATTGATGAGGGAGATCATAACAAAGCAGCTCTAATGTATATGCTCGTATTAACCGGGTTGTAATGCGTTGTAACGTCAGCTTGTAGTTCGTTTGGGGCCACTTCACATTGAGATGAGAAGAAATGATTAAAGGACTCTGAAAGGCTTTGGCCGTTGATGTTGTAATCGCATTACTTGGAACTAGCTGGATGCTAAGCTGTGTAGAATGTTCGATTAGAGCTGTTTTGATATGATTTTTCTCATCATAAGATTGGAGGAATCATAGCAAAACAACTCTAATGGGTTTACCATCATCTACTTGTATGTAGATGTTTGGGAAATTGTCTTGTTAATCGATTTTCGAGATGACTTTCAAATGCTATCATCAAATGACAAACAAGTCTAAGATTTCTCGACAATACATCAAATCATGATGTTTGTAAGTGCGATGAGATTAGAGTTTTTGAAGGAATGACAAGAGAAGTAGGGAAGCTCGGCATTCGCCGAGCAAATTAAAAATTAACGTATGGATTAAATTTTAAGAGGAATTCAATTTTAATTACGGGTTGTTCAAATATTGATTAATATAAATTTATTAATAAGAATAAACAATTTTTGTTTTTGAATTTATTCAATTTATAGCTTTACATATAGTTTCAAAATTGTACAACTATGATTATTTCAACAAAAAATATCTTACTTTTTCACTTCACTTTCACCCTCACTTTTTCCGTAATTCAAATTTCAACATTATGTATTTTAATTCCTTATAGTATTTTTAACATAATTAATCAAATAATAATTGGAAGTTCTGAACTCACTTTTTCCGTAATTCAAAATCAAAAATATGAATAATATATCTATTTATTATATACTAATGCTATTTTCAACTAGAAGTGAGGTACGGTAATCTTACGGATTCCCGTAACTCAATTTTACGGAAAAAGTGCAGTAAACTACTCAATTTACGGAAAAGGTGTCGTAAACTATTGATGTGGCGGTAAAATCACGGTAATTCACGGAAAGCTATATGCGAAAATTTGAAATTATACAAAATCGAGCGAAACACTTTTAAATAGGTTGTTCTCGTATTTAAAATACTATTCCCAGATTTATTGTCGTCAGAATATTTCCAAATTTTTGCCGATTTACAAAAAATGATTTACAAAGCATATTTTTTAATCTAAAAAATTCCTAAAAAAAGGAACCGGTGTGCAGAAACCTCGGTAAATTACCGCGGTTCCCGTTGGGACTGCCATAAGATACACAATCGATGTACTGAAGAATAATCCGGTAAAATGATGATATAAAATTAGATTATTTTACAAGTAGCTAAAAGAATAAAACTATAATATAAAATAAATGAAGTTTAATGAAACAATAAAGGTTAAATAAATAATAAAGATTTTTATTTTATATCAGTATTGAGAAGAAGTAACAGCTGACACTTGGTAGACAACTTCTTTATGTCTAGAAAATTCTATCTTGCCTTTTATTTTTTTCTCGCTGTGAAACGTATTCGGTCATTTTTTTAAAAATTAATTTTTTGTTAGAGGTAAGAGCTAAAACTTTGCAGACAACTTCTTTATGTCTAGAAAATTCTATCTTGCCTTTTATTTTTTTCTCGCTGTGAAACGTATTCGGTCATTTTTTTAAAAATTAATTTTTTGTTAGAGATAAGAGCTAAAACTTTGCAGACAACTCCCCCATGTCTAGCAAATTTAACATTCGTCTCCCATTTTTATATATTTGGTTTAGAATGTTCGAAAATGCGTAATATGGTCATTAATATTAATTGAAAAGAACCTTGAATTAATTCAATCTGATCTCACAAAATATTTTAAATTACAAACTTTGTAGTTTGAATAGATAATTAGTATTAAACTCAAATAACTAGTTTATTTTTGAATAAAAATTATTTGAATTTATTCAATTTTGTGAATTTTCCTTCAAAAATCAAGTTTAAATATCGTATTTGCCATATAATTATAAATACAATGAAACATATTCGAAATTGAAAAGAATGACTTTTTCTGTTCTTTCAATCATTCAATTTGAATTTTGCAATATTGGATTTCTCATTAAATAGCTATTAAAAACAACAAGCAATTTAACTTACTTTCAAATTTATTTGTGTTATATTCAATCTTCTCAAAACTTATAATTTTCGGCTATAGCATGATTATATGCTATTTAATATAATAAACCTATAATAGTATCATTCTTTCAATTATTTGAAAAGAAAACCGAAAAAATCTATTTTCGGTCTATAACAATTATAATATTTCTTGTATTTTTTATTTATTTATTGTTTTAAAAGTTAGATTATATTTTGGAAAAAGTGATTTTTTTATAAACTTTCATTCAAAAAATTAAATTTGATTTTTGATTTTATGCCAAATATCAAAATTATTGAGTTAATGAAATTAGTAGGTATACTTTTAATATCGATTCGATAAAACTAAAAAAAAATAATCACATTAGATATTGTAGATCAAGAAAGAAAATAAATTCGAGATATATCTTTTCTAAATTTAATTTTTTCTTTATAAAAAATATTTTAGTACAAGAAATATTTGAGAAATAAAAAGTTTTTTTCTTTAATTCCTTTCTAAACAACATAATTTGCATCAGAATCCTCATGATATGCATTTTCTTTTGCATTTCTAATTGCAAATATAACCAAAGCTGCAATAAATGCAATCACAATTAAAGCTGCAACTCCGGCACATGCCGCAATAATTATCAACTTTTTCTTTTTAGCCTTCTTTTCTGCTGCTTTGGAATTTTCATATGAACCTCCAGACCCTGTTGTTGTTGTTTCATTTCCTCCAGTTCCTGAAGGATTTTCAACTCCAGGTCCTGATGGATTATTTCCTGGTTCGGGTCCTGATGGATTATTTCCTGGTTCGGGTCCTGATGGATTATTTCCTGGTTCGGGTCCTGATGGATTATTTCCTGGTTCGGGTCCTGATGGATTATTTCCTGGTTCGGGTCCTGATGGATTATTTCCTGGTTCGGGTCCTGATGGATTATTTCCTGGTTCGGGTCCTGATGGATTATTTCCTGGTTCGGGTCCTGATGGATTATTTCCTGGTTCGGGTCCTGATGGATTATTTCCTGGTTCGGGTCCTGATGGATTATTTCCTGGTTCGGGTCCTGATGGATTATTTCCTGGTTCGGGTCCTGATGGATTATTTCCTGGTTCGGGTCCTGATGGATTATTTCCTGGTTCGGGTCCTGATGGATTATTTCCTGGTTCGGGTCCTGATGGATTATTTCCTGGTTCGGGTCCTGATGGATTATTATCAGGTTCAGGCTGTGTCGGTGTTGGAGAATCACTATTCAATTGCCTTGTATCTGGATTGAATGGGTCAACAACAAACTTCATCTCGTTCAGTTTCACAGATCTGCAGAATCTTTCAGGATCAACACAAGAAACTTTCCTGGAATAGTAACCTAATGGCAAAGAAAATTCCTTAGTTGCATTATCTTTTGTGCATGTGACACTTTCAAACTGAGTTGCAGCTAGATCTTTATTGACTTGAATTGTGAACGATTTATATCCGTCGCATGTATATGTACCGCATTTGTGGTGAAAATATGACATTGTTGATGGAAGAATAGCCTGTCCCTTAGGACAAACATAATTTGGGAAATAAAATGGAATGAAATCATAAACTTGTGTTGTACCAACTCCAATGCCTTTCGGATCATAAAATTGTTTTTCGCTATAACTTGCTCTAATATGTGCAGGTCCTGAAAATGGTCCGGAGAATTTGAAATCAAAACTTGCATACCAAATTTCTTGAACTGAGAAGTCTCTCATATAATACTTAGGGAAAACATTTTGTGGAGGACCAATTGCAAAGTTTGTAATTGTATTTCCATCAATTGATTCTGGATTGCCCCATACTAATGGTTGTCCCATTTGCCAGTTAACTTTGTAGTTACCTGTATCCATAAGAACTGCAAGAACAGCATCAGTCAACCTGGAAAATGGTCCAGCTTCTGTTTGAATTGTCATGCCAACCATCAAATCTGTCATGTAAGATCTAGCTTCCAAATGACTTCCTGCTGTTCCTTGACCGCCATCATTTTCAATTTCTATTCCTGATGGACATTTTCCATAAGTTCCTTGGAATTCCTCTACTCCAAAGCGCTTCATTGCAAACTTATGGGCGTATGGTGTTACTAAGAAAGTAAAACTTCTCCCATATTTTGTAAAACTGCATGTTATTCGTGAATGCGGAGATGTTGACTCGTGAGGATGGTAATAATCAAAATATGATGATGAAATACCCAAAGCATGGAAAATTTCGTGAACGCAAGTATAAAAGAATCTTGAATCGTTTGAGTTTTCATCTTGTGCTGTATCAGGAACTGCCATTGGATTTAAGAAAACGACACCAAATATTGGTCTGTGATATGTTCTCTCTTCTGCTAATCCAGCAGCTGATGCGAGAGTAGCATCATTATCCTGTCTCGGTCTTGAAAGTACTGCAAGTACTATATCGTAACCGTATGCGCTTTGTTTGCCAAAATTCGTCTCGTTTCGATAACGGCTACGAAAGTCCACATAATTAATATAATGATTATATGGAACTACTGTAAGAAGTCTCTCTAAATATGATTTGACATTATTAAGTGTTCCTTTAATAGCCAAAATTTTTGAATTTGACAAAATATGTTCCTGTTTGCAAATATATCTTACGCCTTGGAATACAACTAGTTGTCCAGCTCGTTTACAAGTTCGTTCATCATCTTTTGTATTATCAATATAATTATAATCTACCTTAATTCTGATGTTTTTCCATTCGGTATTTTTAAGGCTGCGATATGATTGAGGTCCTTGAAGTTCTCTTGTTATGTTACCCATTTCAAGATCATGATTGCATGTATGCACATCTAGCTGAGCAACGAGGAGTAGAGACAATATCATTTTATGATTTCAATAGCTATTTAAAAAATTAAATATAAAATGGATCACATTGAAAAATATATATTTTGTAGCATCTCATTTAATAATTGTAATTGATATAAACTATTGCATCTAAAATTTTATAATATTGAATATCCTTAGAATAGGATATTTTATTGCATTCAATTTTGAATGATCATTCAAAGCATATAACAAAATACGTGATTATATTGGCTTATAAAATATTTTTCATTGAAAAACTTTAAAAATATTTTTCATTGAAAAAGAATTTGAAAAGATTTTCATAGGGGAAAACGGTTTGAAAAATTCAATGTTTACAGTATTATATTTTTTGCGCAAAACGAAGTCGCTCATTCATTTAAGATATAAGCTTAATTAAAAGGCATTATAATCATTTATAAGTCAGCATTTCGGAGTCAATTTAGTTCAATCTTTGCTTATATTCCTAAACCGCTCGCTTCGCTCGCGCAAATTACAGAATTTGGATGCAATACCCCTCATTTCATTGTTGAGAATGCCAAGTCTTTTCAAGATAAAATTATTACAGATTTCCACCTTCAAATTTATACAACATTATAAAAATTTATGAATAAAAACTTGATATAAAATAACATTTTTATTTTTACTAAGAAAAAAAAGGTTTTTGATAATAAATTTATTTTATTTCGAAAAAGTAACAATAATCGTAAAAGGGTATTGATAGGCTTGCTAAAGTAACTAATTTTAGCTGTCAAATACTTTTGTATTTTGAAGTAAATTAGTATAAATTTGTTTTTACTTTTATTTCGAAAAAGTAACAATAATCGTAAAAGGGTATTGATAGGCTTGCTAAAGTAACTAATTTTAGCTGTCAAATACTTTTGTATTTTGAAGTAAATTAGTATAAATTTGATATTATTTTAACTCCCTTTGAAAACCTCAATTTTCCATACAGAGGGAACGGGAATAGCATCCAATATTCCCTGAGAATGGTTGCGCATTCTCAGTTCCCTCTATATTTCGAACGAAGCTCTCATCGGTCTTTTTTTTAATACTAAACGTTTTTTTCCCTGTCACTTTTAGCTAAAATTTGGGTTTGCCGTAGTTTTATCTGGAAACCAAGTTATAAGGTTGAGTCAATTTTTAGGAAATGATTAATTTTATTTTAGGATTGTCATGTTGATTTATTATATGATTTGTAACTCAATTTGCCATAAAGTCAATAAATTAGAGATTGAATATACTCTTTTGCTCAATGAAATTCAAAATTGAAAAGGAATTGAATTTTTCAAGTTATGTAAAATATTATTATTATGATTATATTTCATGTTTTAAATTTTAAGTGTAAAAAATTCACATTGAAATATTTGAGAGTCAATTATAAAAATGCTAACTTTTCTCAGTATTCTTAAGAATAGTTATGGATACGACACGACAAAAATTAGTAAATATTCCGAAAATTTAAACAGAGGAGTTGTTGCAGTTAGGGCAGGTAATGGAATTTCATTCATTTCGTGGAGATTTCTAATAACGGATGATGATAGCATTGCTTTTAATGTTTATAGAATTGATGAAAACTCAACAACTGTAAAACTTAACTCAAATCCAATTACAGATGTCACACATTTCTATGATAAAAATCACAATAAGAGTAAATCATATAAATATTTTGTTGGATCAATTATTAACGATGTTGAAGTCGAAAATAGTAGTTTCTTTGAGTTACCAGCAAATACAGCAGATATTCCATGTATTCGGATTCCAATCCATAATGGAACGCAATTCAGAACAGTATGGGTAGGCGATCTTGATGGAGATCGAAATCTTGATTTCGTCCTTGTAAGAGACAGAGATGAAATTCAGACTGTTGAAGCATATTTGCACAATGGAACTTATTTATGGACATTAAACCTTGGTCATAACAGTATAAATAAGGATAGAATCAAACCTGGAGCTACCACAATTAATGTTGGCCAAGTTGATGGATTAAGTGTGTATGATTTAAATGGCGACGGAAAAGCTGAAGTATATATCCGAATTGCTAACAATTTCACCTTCGGAGATGGATATGTATTCATTCATGATAATGATGTTGATCAATGGATTGCTTGTATTGATGGATTAACAGGCAAATTGAAACAAAAAGTTAAACTTCCTAATTTCAAGCCTGAATATGGTTCTGTATCAGCACAGTTTGGTGCTGGGTGGGCAACCCTTGAAAAACCAGCCTTATTTGTTGCAACAAAAAATCGAATCACTGGTGGAAAGAGATTCTTCAATATTTATTCCGCTTTTTCATTTATAAATGGTGTGTTTGGCTTAGATTGGAACTTTACTGACTCTTTTGACAATGATGATTCTACTTATCACAACGGACATCATTTCAGACTTGCAGATGTTGATTATGATGGTATTGATGAGTTTCATGAGATCGGATTTACATTAAATGGCAACGGAACATTAAGATATAATCTTGGAAAATCTAATATTAGACATGGTGATAGATTCTATGTCTCCAAGTTCAATAAAGAAGACACAACAATGAGTGGATACGGAATTCAGCAAAATAACCCTGATTTAATTGATGAATATGCTTATAATGCTTCTACCGGAGAAATGAAATGGATACATTATGGCACATATGTTCATGACTTAGGAAGAGGCAATGCTGGTGATTTTGATCCATCAAAGCCAGGTTATGAAGTATATTCGTTCGATGGTTTATATAATGAGAAAACAAATGATTTATTGGTTGAAAATTTCACCGATTTCTTATGGCCAGCAAACAATTTGTACTGGGAGGGAACCCTTAGTCCTTCTACCATCAATCGAGGATTAGTTATTAAATTTGATGATGAAAATAACAAATCTATTCGTTACCTAACTTCAACCACTTTGTTTAATAATAAATATGGGACAGATTTGAAATATGACGATGATGGAGATTATCCTTTATTCCATGGTGATATTTTAGGAGATTGGAGAGAGGAGTTCATAATGGCAGCATCTAATTGGAGTGAAATTGTTATTTTTACTACAAACTTAGATACAAATTTGAAGATGACAACTTTATGGCACGATCCAGGTATGAGAGCTTCAATGACAATCAATGGTTACAAACAAAGTCATATGCCACTTGTTTATCTTGGAAATGAAACAAATCTCAAAGAAAATAGAGATTTCTTGAAAAAATATCATAAATTAAGAGCTGAAAAGCCTGAAATACCAACTTCAGAACCTTCATCTTCGTCACCTTCAACTCCGCCAACAAACCAAACTAATATATCAGAGAGCAATACATCTTCTAGTGGAAAATCAAAGACAACAGTTGCTATTGTTGTTTCATTAGTTATTATTGCTTTAATAGCTGTTGCTGCTTTCTTTGTTGTAAGGTTTATTATCAACAAGCGTAGTAACAACGATAATATAACTGAAACGGCTTTAATTGTGTAAATTATATTACTTTTGTTAGAGCAAGTGGGAGACTATATATTGTACATGTTTATTATGTTTGTTTATGAAAACTTGAAATATTGAAAATAAATTGATACTTTATCACTTCGGAATTGATTGTTTTGTTGCATGCTAAGTTCGGTCAAAATGTAAACCTCTCAATTTTATCGTCGGGGGAAGTAACTCAATTCCTTCAAAATTATTCTTTAAATATTGAATTTAAAGTTATTTAATTTGGATTATAAATAAATAGGCTAATACAATATTTAAAAATGAGAAAAAATAACTTTTCAAAGAACTTTTCATAATCTCAAAGAAAATTTTTTATTCAATAATTATATAAATTAATTAACATTCATAATGGAATTGGATTTTTTTTTATAAAAAATTGGTCCTACTTAACTTTTTGAGAGAATTTGGCTTTTCATTTTTTATTATGAGTAGACCAACCATTCCTTCTTGGTGGTTAATTCAAACACGCGAAAAACTTGAATCTCGCGAACTCAATTATTTAATTGCGTGTAAGCGAGGAGAGAGGGTCAAAGTTGCTATTTGTCACTTTTCCACAAGAATATAATGGGGAAAAAGTTATCATATAGTTGATCTCATTCACTGAGGTGAGAGATGCATGTAGTGTAATGTTATAAACAGTGGGATTGCTGCTCTAAGTCCTAGGTTCGAGACACATTGGCTTCATTTTTCTCTTTTTTATTGACGTAAACTATTCAATTTTTGTGTTCTCCATTCAAATTTCAGAATTTTTTTTGCAGATTTCACGCTACATTCGAAGTTACCTTTTGTAACAACCACCACTGCCTACGAAAGACGAAAGTGTGTCACGATTTCACCCGGAAATCCGACGGTTGTTTAAGAGTATGCACTTTTGTCACCTACTCGTAAGCGAGTTCCATACGAGGATGAAATGAAGTGTGAATTTAGATCAATTTCGAAAAACACACTTAAAGCAGCATACACAAATGCAAATTTAACGCCCCCAAACGTTAAACCTGGTCCGGCACCAGATGATATTACTCCTGAAAATTTGCAATATGTTCTCCAAAAATTTTAGGAATATAAGTGCGGAATCCAAAAGATGTTTTGGCGTTTAAACATGGATCAAAATGTTTATTCAGTTTCCTACAATAAACTCAGAAGAATTTACAGTATTTTGGAGATCAAAGAACCAAAAAGTGACAGGCCCCCTCAAAAATATTATACGCCATATGAAGCAACAAAACCTGATACCATATGGCATGTAGATGTTCATTTTTTATACGGTTCACAGAGGTTACCTGTTTATGGTATAATAGACGATAAATCTCGGTTTTTGTTGGCTTTAAAAATTTTGCCAAATAAATCTTCCGAATCTACAACAAGAGTTGCCGAAGAAACGATTGGCTTATATCAAAAGCCATTTTGTTTCTGGTCCGACAACGGGGGAGAGAATATGGGCCAATTTTATAATTGGCTCATGCGAAACAACATTCGATATGAAAGTTTCCTCTGTCGAGAAACTTCCTCACACCTCAAGAGATGCGAAGAACTTTTGACAGGCAAAGTGCAATATTGATAGGTGATTGCACTTTGCCTGTCACATACATCTCGACAGAGGCAACATTCGATATGAAAGTTTCCTCTGTCGAGAAACTTCCTCACACCTCAAGAGATGCGAAGAACTTTTGACAGGCAAAGTGCAATATTGATAGGTGATTGCACTTTGCCTGTCACATACATCTCGACAGAGGCAACATTCGATATGAAAGTTTCCTCTGTCGAGAAACTTCCTCACACCTCAAGAGATGCGAAGAACTTTTGACAGGCAAAGTGCAATATTGATAGGTGATTGCACTTTGCCTGTCACATACATCTCGACAGAGGCAACATTCGATATGAAAGTTTCCTCTGTCGAGAAACTTCCTCACACCTCAAGAGATGCGAAGAACTTTTGACAGGCAAAGTGCAATATTGATAGGTGATTGCACTTTGCCTGTCACATACATCTCGACAGAGGCAACATTCGATATGAAAGTTTCCTCTGTCGAGAAACTTCCTCACACCTCAAGAGATGCGAAGAACTTTTGACAGGCAAAGTGCAATATTGATAGGTGATTGCACTTTGCCTGTCACATACATCTCGACAGAGGCAACATTCGATATGAAAGTTTCCTCTGTCGAGAAACTTCCTCACACCTCAAGAGATGCGAAGAACTTTGACAGGCAAAGTGCAATATTGATAGGTGATTGCACTTTGCCTGTCACATACATCTCGACAGAGGCAACATTCGATATGAAAGTTTCCTCTGTCGAGAAACTTCCTCACACCTCAAGAGATGCGAAGAACTTTTGACAGGCAAAGTGCAATATTGATAGGTGATTGCACTTTGCCTGTCACATACATCTCGACAGAGGCAACATTCGATATGAAATTTTCCTCTGTCGAGAAACTTCCTCACACCTCAAGAGATGCGAAGAACTTTTGACAGGCAAAGTGCAATATTGATAGGTGATTGCACTTTGCCTGTCACATACATCTCGACAGAGGCAACATTCGATATGAAAGTTTCCTCTGTCGAGAAACTTCCTCACACCTCAAGAGATGCGAAGAACTTTTGACAGGCAAAGTGCAATATTGATAGGTGATTGCACTTTGCCTGTCACATACATCTCGACAGAGGCAACATTCGATATGAAAGTTTCCTCTGTCGAGAAACTTCCTCACACCTCAAGAGATGCGAAGAACTTTTGACAGGCAAAGTGCAATATTGATAGGTGATTGCACTTTGCCTGTCACATACATCTCGACAGAGGCAACATTCGATATGAAAGTTTCCTCTGTCGAGAAACTTCCTCACACCTCAAGAGATGCGAAGAACTTTTGACAGGCAAAGTGCAATATTGATAGGTGATTGCACTTTGCCTGTCACATACATCTCGACAGAGGCAACATTCGATATGAAAGTTTCCTCTGTCGAGAAACTTCCTCACACCTCAAGAGATGCGAAGAACTTTTGACAGGCAAAAGTGCAATATTGATAGGTGATTGCACTTTGCCTGTCACATACATCTCGACAGAGGCAACATTCGATATGAAAGTTTCCTCTGTCGAGAAACTTCCTCACACCTCAAGAGATGCGAAGAACTTTTGACAGGCAAAGTGCAATATTGATAGGTGATTGCACTTTGCCTGTCACATACATCTCGACAGAGGCAACATTCGATATGAAAGTTTCCTCTGTCGAGAAACTTCCTCACACCTCAAGAGATGCGAAGAACTTTTGACAGGCAAAGTGCAATATTGATAGGTGATTGCACTTTGCCTGTCACATACATCTCGACAGAGGCAACATCGATATGAAAGTTTCCTCTGTCGAGAAACTTCCTCACACCTCAAGAGATGCGAAGAACTTTTGACAGGCAAAGTGCAATATTGATAGGTGATTGCACTTTGCCTGTCACATACATCTCTCAGAGGCAACATTCGATATGAAAGTTTCCTCTGTCGAGAAACTTCCTCACACCTCAAGAGATGCGAAGAACTTTTGACAGGCAAAGTGCAATATTGATAGGTGATTGCACTTTGCCTGTCACATACATCTCGACAGAGGCAACATTCGATATGAAAGTTTCCTCTGTCGAGAAACTTCCTCACACCTCAAGAGATGCGAAGAACTTTTGACAGGCAAAGTGCAATATTGATAGGTGATTGCACTTTGCCTGTCACATACATCTCGACAGAGGCAACATTCGATATGAAAGTTTCCTCTGTCGAGAAACTTCCTCACACCTCAAGAGATGCGAAGAACTTTTGACAGGCAAAGTGCAATATTGATAGGTGATTGCACTTTGCCTGTCACATACATCTCGACAGAGGCAACATTCGATATGAAAGTTTCCTCTGTCGAGAAACTTCCTCACACCTCAAGAGATGCGAAGAACTTTTGACAGGCAAAGTGCAATATTGATAGGTGATTGCACTTTGCCTGTCACATACATCTCGACAGAGGCAACATTCGATATGAAAGTTTCCTCTGTCGAGAAACTTCCTCACACCTCAAGAGATGCGAAGAACTTTTGACAGGCAAAGTGCAATATTGATAGGTGATTGCACTTTGCCTGTCACATACATCTCGACAGAGGCAACATTCGATATGAAAGTTTCCTCTGTCGAGAAACTTCCTCACACCTCAAGAGATGCGAAGAACTTTTGACAGGCAAAGTGCAATATTGATAGGTGATTGCACTTTGCCTGTCACATACATCTCGACAGAGGCAACATTCGATATGAAAGTTTCCTCTGTCGAGAAACTTCCTCACACCTCAAGAGATGCGAAGAACTTTTGACAGGCAAAGTGCAATATTGATAGGTGATTGCACTTTGCCTGTCACATACATCTCGACAGAGGCAACATTCGATATGAAAGTTTCCTCTGTCGAGAAACTTCCTCACACCTCAAGAGATGCGAAGAACTTTTGACAGGCAAAGTGCAATATTGATAGGTGATTGCACTTTGCCTGTCACATACATCTCGACAGAGGCAACATTCGATATGAAAGTTTCCTCTGTCGAGAAACTTCCTCACACCTCAAGAGATGCGAAGAACTTTTGACAGGCAAAGTGCAATATTGATAGGTGATTGCACTTTGCCTGTCACATACATCTCGACAGAGGCAACATTCGATATGAAAGTTTCCTCTGTCGAGAAACTTCCTCACACCTCAAGAGATGCGAAGAACTTTTGACAGGCAAAGTGCAATATTGATAGGTGATTGCACTTTGCCTGTCACATACATCTCGACAGAGGCAACATTCGATATGAAAGTTTCCTCTGTCGAGAAACTTCCTCACACCTCAAGAGATGCGAAGAACTTTTGACAGGCAAAGTGCAATATTGATAGGTGATTGCACTTTGCCTGTCACATACATCTCGACAGAGGCAACATTCGATATGAAAGTTTCCTCTGTCGAGAAACTTCCTCACACCTCAAGAGATGCGAAGAAC